ACGCCAGGGATGCGATAAAGGGAGGCTGGAGGATAGCCCGGAGCGAGTCCGAACACGAAATTATTTGATAGGCGTAGGAATTATTCTATCAACCCTGTTAATGACAGAGGCACAACAGAGAAGAGCTGCTTTGGTGAGGATGAAGGAAGAGCGAGGAACGGTTATTGCTTTGTAAGGACGCTCCGGAGCCCTCGAGGTAGAAAGAAATGAAACTGAGGGGGGGGAACCAACCAAAACCCACCGCACTTTGGGGAACAGAATTTGGGTGCTGTCAGGCTGGGGACCTACAGCGGTCTACCAAACCCTAACGGCAGAGCGGCCGAAGTCTCAGTGAACAGGATCATGTGAGACACCGGACAGGTCATTTCCACGCGATTACCATCTAGGTATCTGCTTGGGAAAGCAGGGAAGAAACTCTGAGTGGTTTTGACCCGGAAAGAAACCTGGAAGACCAACGGTTTGAGCAACAGGGATTCTTCTTGGTGGCAGGGCATGCAACTCTAGAGGGAAGAAGGGAAAAATAAAAGCAACGGTTCCTTCAAACTGAGCAAATGCAAACTCCCCGGTTGAGCGGAAAGACAAGCGGCGCGGTGCGAGACAACTCAAGCTCTCCTCGTACCCGCCATCCACGTGAGCGCGGAGGAAGCGGAGCACGGGTCGGGTTACCGGAGGGAATCACGCAGGAGACGACACAAGCACGCGGGGCCAAAAAAAAAAAACCAAACCCGACTAACAAAACAAGTGCCAGAAAGGCCAAAGCCGTAAGGAAAACAAGAGAGATCAAGGTAACGAGTCAGGTTTTGGCAAGAGAGACTAAAGGACTCGCTGCTCCGGGACAGCTATCACAGGGTAGCAAGAACAAGAGTGTTTTCCGCTTCTGGGCATCGGCGTTCAGCTCTGAGCTAATAGCAGCAGCAAGAAAAAATGTGGATTATTAAGGGGGTAGAAAAAGAAAAGATAATAAATCAGATTATTCCTAGAAACTGAGGTTTTTTAAGCAGGCAGGACCTGCCCTGGGTCACCGGCAGGAGTGGCGGCCAAGTTGCTAACAGCCTCCCCGAAAGCTGCGGAGGCCCAGATTATCAAAAATCCCAGATTAGCAGAAAGCCCAGATTAGCAGTAACCGGAGGCCCAGATTAGCAGAAAACAGCACAACGAGCATCTGTCTTTAAAAGAAAGGAGGGGAAAAGGAAATACGGCAGAGGAGATGTTGGCCTCAAGAGTTTAACTGCCTGACTTTTGGAAAAAAAAACAAACCCAAAACCCAACAAATCAAGAGGAAATCACCTTGCAAACTGCCTGTGAGCTGCGAGAAAACAAGATAAGCAGCAACCAGCATAAATTGGGCAAGAGCAAACCGTGCCTACCTGGTTCGGATTTCTCCCAGGAGAGCAGAAAGAGGCCTGAGGCAAAGCGCAGCAGCGGAGCTCTCCAGTTCTCCGTTTTAGTTTTAGCTTAGTTTTTGTCGTGGCCTAATTCAACGCTCGGTAAAGAAATATCAGTTGGATGTAAGTGTTGTAGGGGAGGGATTGAAAACACTACGCGGACTCAATCTCGGGAGTTCACTGCCCAAACCCAGAGGGCGAACTCGGTGGGTTCTGCTTGCTCTTTTCGTTATCGGCCCCGGGTGATGGAAGAAAGAAACACCTCGATTACATTTGCCGACCCCACCAAGCCACTTAAGTTGCAGAAGGATTTGAGAACGGGCTAAAAACCGCCGGGGGTGCAGCCCAAAAAAACCCCAAAAATCAGCTGGAAGGGACAGCAGGAGGATAATCCAACAAGCACAAATGCCCAGGGCAAGGCAGCGCTCTACGGCAGCGATTACCAGGACGGTTAAAGCCACCGCAGCGTCCCAAGAGACGGGAAGAAGTTGCTGTCCTGCCAAGCCGCCAACACGGCAAACCTTCACACAACCAGAAAGGTGCAGATTAATATTAGAGCTATTTTTCCGCCCCCCTTTCCTTCTCACTATCTTGGAGTAATAAAGCAGAGTAATGCCGTAAATCAATTTATTCCTCCCGGAATAAACGGCCTAAGGAAGGTGTTAAATCCTCCTTGCAGAGGTTTGAAGAGAGCGTAGATTAACCGTAGCTGCGGTAAGGTGGAGGTGGGAGGATGTGCGTCCCCCCTGATCCCCTCCAGCCTTGTTCCTCGCTGCCGTGGGTGCCTCGTCACGCGACTCCCACGTTGCCTTCAGTCACCCTCTGGCTCGCTCGGGCAGGCGCTGTATTATTCACGCGAGGTTTTAGCGCTGCTAATAGCCAAGCGATGAATCATTCCACCTCGCCGAGCGCACCGAGGACTTACACAAAAAGGTATGTTTAGCGTCCGAAATAGATAACGAGGTTTTTCGAGCCCGTAATTATACTGTTTCCGCAACTCTGGTTCGCAAAGCTGACTTCCTTGAAGAGAAATCCAACAGCAGACAGAAGGAAGAGCCGGAGCGGCGCTTATATAAAAGGTATTTTCTAGGTAAGAGCCAGCCAAGATCTACTTCACCTTTGATGAACCCGTAAAAAGAGATGGGAATGAAGAATTGCAAGATGGGCAGGAACCCGGCTCCGGAGGAGGCAGGAAGACAAAATACCTGCTTGGGTTGGCTGCTGGCGTTCTCCAGGACAAACAGGCAAAGGACGTCAGTTCAAGAAAGGTCTTGGCATAGAAAGCAGGATAATAGCCGCAACACAAAGCTGCTCTTCAGAACCCGAGGCACAAAAAGCAGGATGAAATTCAACAGAACAAAAGGTGAGTGCCTGACTTTTGGAAACCTTACGGGGAGCTGACCTCCTTACGGGGCTCTGCTTCGAGGAAAGCAGATGCGTGCCAACAGATTTGCCACCAGAAGTCAGCCCCGGGTGAGGAAAACCCTCCAGATCTTTGCCACCCACACAAAACGAGGGGTCGATGCAAGGTGAAAAAAAAAAAAAAAGAGTCATTGAGGTTTGTTGGAGAAATAAAGGCACCTGAGGGGAGGGCTGATCATCACATTCCTCCCAGACGCCCAGATCACAATCTCAGCCTTTAAAAACCACATCTTCTTTGAATTCCTGTTGCCTAGTTTATCTCTCTGCAAACAGAGAGGTTCTCACCCACTTTATCCTGCTGTCTTCCCCCAAAAGGCAGTGAGAACAGAGGGACAGAGCCCTCGGGCCACCCAATTCCGGGGGGGGGGGCTAATCATCAGGTGGGTCACAAAGCCCAATTTGTTTCACTTCTGCTGGAAAAACTCACCGAAAGGCGCTTCGGATTCGCCCGATCAGAGCCAGACCTTCAACAGTTTGCATGGTAATTCCCCGGAGAAGCCCTCGCTCACCTCTCGCCTCCAGACACCACCAGGGAGTTCGGACGGACCGGCTCCTTGGGCCACGGTTTTACGGGACGCCAACCTGCGCCGGACTTGCTTCAGGGTTTTGCTAAGCTGCCGGTAAAAACAAGACAAAACAAGAGGTCACGAGCTGCTTTCCGTGAGGGTTACGCCAAGAAGTTTACTTTTAGAAGAGATCTCCTGGTGTACCCTGCCCCAGCCGAGGTGTTTTCATCAAAGGAGCGGCGACCCAACGCGGAATCAGCTCTGCAAATAAGGGAACTTGCAGCCCAGGGTGTCTCGCAGAGCTGCCCCGACGCACCGGAGTCCTGATCCAAACACGGGAAAGGGTTTGGGATACGGCTCGTGCGCACCCCAGTCACTTCGCTGTCCCAGTTCCCCCCCTGTCCTGCCCACCGCAGGTCCCCAAGGGGACGCGGCGCTTCGAGCGCAGTAACCCCAGCTCCCAGGCAAGCACACCTGCTTTCCAAAATGCCAAATGCAGCAACTATAAAAAAAAAAAACAAAACACAAAAAACTCAACGAAAAAAAGCTTAAACCAGTCCCTAAGGCAGGTTTTTCTAAGATTTTTGTCTCCTGCAGGAGACAAGCTGCGATGAGGTGGCACCACCTAGTGTCGCCTGTCCACCACGACAGGCGACGCAGCAACAAGTCCCCGCGAGCGGAGGGAAAAATTCAGCGCACGGAGAAGTAGAGGGGGACAAGTTCAACCCCAGCGTCCTCCAAGGGGATATTTCCCATCGGGTTTGAGGCTCTGAGAAGAGCTCCGGAGGAATACAACAATACGCAGCGAACAGGAGGGAAAACGTAAGCCGGTGCTTCGTTCGGCATAAAAAAATAGATTCGGGATGTGTTGTAAAAGAGGGGGGGAAAGATAAATACCGCCTGTCCTCCATTTCAAACCACGAGCAACCAGCGGGGACGAAGCAGGGATGAGAAACGCAGCGGAGGAAGCGCTCACCTTGGCGGCTTGCTGCTGGAAGGGCTCGTTTGGCGACCCTCGCTGCTGCGCCGGGACGGCGGGAGAGGCGGGACGGCGGATGGCGGGCGCGGGGTGGCTGCGGAACAGGCACGTGTTCTTCCTGGGAGTCAAACGCAGCGCCGAGTCCGAGTACTGAAGGGCGACGCAGCTCTCCCTCTCCGCCTGCCGGGACACGGCCCCCGGCGTTCAAAAAAATCATAGAATCACAGAATGGTTTGGGTTGGAAGGGACCTTGAAGACCATCTGGTTCCCACCCCCTGCCCTGGGCAGGGACACCTCCCACCAGCCCAGGTTGCTCCAAGCCCCGTCCAACCCGGCCTTGAACACCTCCAGGG